AGTTTAACTCGTTCAGAGCGCCCTACATTCCAAACTCCAAGTGTTTCATTTTGTCTATTGCTACATCAACAGTAATGTACAGGAACATATGAAAATGTTTCCAAATTAACCACAAGTGAACAAGTTGAGGGATTTGATAATAAGAGAGGAATCATAACAATGACTGTTTGTTGCTAGTCATGCATACCAAACTGAAAGAAGGTGTACTTTTTAGAATTTGATTATTAGGGAATATAATATGGAATCGCGTATCTAAAGAAATTAATAATGATATTAATTTAAGGATCTAAATATATGTATTCATATAGCTGGTAGAATTACTGTAATCCACTTTCTTTGTAAACACGTTTTATTTTTAATTTGACTCATTCATGCATGATTACTTTAGAAACATTTTTTAAAGTATTCGTTCTATGTAGGCAATCCGAGTTCAATTCCCAGTTCGGGCAAGTAGTTTTTCTTCTAACAAAGACTTTTTAAAACATAAAATAGTAAGTATTATGTACACTATATTAACATTTTTTGTGTTTATCATATTCAATGTTAAGTGATATTGATAATGAATAAAAACATGAATGAAACAGAGCCTGCAACACACAGATTCATAGAAAAGGTTAATCACTTAACTCACTTAACTTTGAACGTGTTGTGATATTTTGAAACCAACAAATTCAATATAGTGTAATATTAACTCTTTTAGTTTTTCAAAGAAATGTTTATTTGTTAAAAGAAAGCTCATGGTGACAGCTGGGTTCAAACCTTCGACTTCCAGCATGCAAAACACACAACTAAGCCATTACACCAATGCACTGCTTAACAACTTAAGCTGTAGCTGAAAAAGGCAGGCAGAATATCTTCACATAATCACGGGTGAATGAGTTAAACTGATGCTGATGGTTACAAAGAAAGCGGACCACGTTAAAACTTTGAGCTTACAGCCTGTCCAAGGTCATTCATTATTAATACTATTAAAAATATCTTCCGTAAAGACTTTGATGCATAAAATATTTCTGCATAATTAAAATATTTATGATGAAGGTGGAAGGAAGTGTACTTTTGTCTAACCGAGCAATCTTGCTTTTATAAAATATACCGACTTTTTAATGTTTAATAATTAACATGCTGTAATACACAAATTTTAAAATTATTTAGTCTAAAGAGTATACAACTAAAATTCTTCATTGGAAAAAGATTGTCCCTCAGCAATGACTGAAATAATGAAAACTATGCATTTTCTGGCAACAGCTCAAATGCTGTACATGAGATGTTAAGCTTTATTAGCTCCACCTGGCGGTTTTACAAGGTGCTTCCGGATACTATTATCATAACATGCATTATGATACGTTATGATACGTTATGTTGCGTTATGATGTGCCACGACTACCACAATTTGACACAGCGTACTTCACGCATTTTGAATGGCTGGATCTTTATTAAGAACAATATATTTAAATTATTTATTTAAAATTTTCTGTTATACTTCTGAGGTACAGTATGCATTATTTGAAATATTTTGTTATTTTATCTTAAGGGTGGCTTGCAAAACAGTGGTATAAATTGTATCGAGATTAAGGCAGTCTGCAAGAATTACAGTACACTAATAACTGTGATTGATGTACAGTATGGATATCTATGGATATTCATGGAATTCTTTAATGTGTGGGACGTTGGAGAATATACTATAGTTGTTTTACCATATGCTGTATGTGTCCCACACCCCAAATTAAAAACTCCAATACAGTCCATTCATGGCATGTAATCCCCATTTCAGAAAAAAATACTGTACATCCATGTTACATTTTGAAAACATATTTAATGAAGCTGCCATTTCAGTAACATCTAATGAAACACAAATGCCTCCTATTGATCATGCCACACCTGTCAGACCATACTGCAGTGCTCTTTCTGCTAATTCCAGTTTTGACATGTATTTTTGGCTTCATCTGTAAATCCTTACTTGTATGAATATGTATTTATGTTTCTTTACTAAATATGTATGTATGTGGGATTAATTTGGGAATTATTAAAGCATTTAAAATATCATAGCATTTATAATGTTCCAAATATTGTGACCCTGGCTCTGACCCCAAGCTTCTCTAATCTGTCTGTGTCTATCATGGAGTGCACGTTGGTGTATACAAAAAAGACAAATTCAATACAAGAAATTGTATATGGCCAATAAAGTGATCTACTGTGAGAAGTTATTTTTAAAAATACCTATATGAGGCTCCAAATGTATTCATCAAGTAAAGGTGGTCATTGAGAGTGTATGTATAGCAAATACAGTAGTTTCAATTTCATTAAAATGGTAAAATGTGGTGTTTAGTATATTGGATCCTGATGCACTGTAGATGAAAATAAAATGTGCAGCAGTAAATTGCATATCTGTTGAAAGTTCATTTGGAAATATATTCCAAACCTCAGAAAGTCAAAGCCATCCTTTCATGACAACTTCTATTAAAAACACAAAAAACAACAGAGTGATAGAAATCCAACACATAAGGAAAATTAGAATATATAAATTAGCTTATTACCTGTTTGATTATAAACATCTAATTGCAACCTCAATTTTTCATATATCAAATCTATCCTTTTCTGTGAAAGGTTTTTTACATTTTCTATACATTAAATGTTTTTTTATGTGATTTGTGTGAACTATATCTGTCTTTGTTATACTGCTCCTACAACATCTATAGGAAAACACCCCAGAAAGGTGACAAATGAGCTACAGTGTTGTAAGTTGTTTCATGACTTAGCTTTGTCAGTTTTTGCTTTAAAGAAGATACTAAAAGACAGAAATCTCCCATTACTACTTTCATATATCCAGTGAAATAGTGTCTGTGTTATACAGAACATTCGGGTAGACCATACAGGAATCCTTATTTTTCACATACAGTTTACATGTAATGACCACATGTTGAATTAATGTTTTTCCAGTTTTCTAAGCATTACCCCTTGTATTTGACATTTGTTAAAGATAAATGTTATCTTTTTACTTTTTCTACACTGTAGGCTCATTAAAGGGCATGGAATTAATATTCAGAACCTCAGCTCAAGATCTGTTCTCACTGTGTCCAACATGACAGAGGATCGTTACGGAAACTACACGTGTGTTGCTACCAACAACCTTGGAACAGCCAATGCCAGCATGCCTCTAATCCGTAAGTCACAAGGATATTAACTCTAAGCAGACTTGTTTCCATGGTTATGTGCTATTAATTTACTGAAAAGCTTCTTCTTCTTGTAAAGAGATTGTAGTGCATTTATCTCCAGTCATAGTGCTCTGCATTACTACTCCCCAGTGTTTTTGCATACCCACAGTATAAGAACTGACTAGTATATTTAGTTTAGATTTGCACACTTATAGTTTATATTGTCATATACAGTGAACTGTATATACAGAAAAAGAATAAATATGAGAAAAAATAACACGAAAAGGTTTTAGATGAAACAATGATATGTCTACTTATATATCCCATTTATACTACTTGTGTCTAGGACACTTTCAGGTAAAAATTAAGGAAAAATTACCAAACTGTCAACAAACTTAATGAGGAAAAAGGATAAAATACTTGTTATGACTCTTAAGGTAGCTTTCTGAGCTGTGATGATTTCAGCTTCACTGTGTTTTTGATGTTGACAAAGTGACATGTGTGATTCTCATTGTGACATTTTTACAGTAATTTTAAATGTTGTTCTACTAGAAAATTGTGATTTTTTTCAAAGGTTGTTAAATTAAAAATATTATGTTGCAAATTATCTTTTCTTAAAGTAGCCTTGGACACAGAAATATATGTATTCCCACTTGAGTAGAAATGAGTAGAAAATATGTTTCTAGATAGTTGGTTATAAAGACTAAATTATGTTGTATAGAATTCATCATGTTTTAGCTAAATGAAAAAAAGATGGATATATACCTATAATCATCTCCCTCAAAACTGATGATATCCATCATCTAGAATGTGTCTTCAATTAAAAAACAAATGACAGTAGTAGACATCAACTGTACAAACTACAAGACTACAAGAGTTTTATTAATGTGCTGTATGTATCATATACGCAGACTATTATGTGTTTCTGAATATGTATCTGCACAACAAGAATTTATTGGAAGAAAACATATTCGTAAAGATAGTCATTTCAAAGGAAAAACCTGACTCTGAGTGCTTTTAATGCAAAGAAGAAAAAGATCAAAGACTTTTTGAGATTTTCAAAACCATGGATTTAGTGCAACTTCAGTTTTTCTATAGCTGAAATATCAAGCATGTTATATAAAGTCCAAAGCAATACTTTTTGTTATGTCTCAGATGCAGTCTTACTCACTTTATGATGAACGATAATAAGAATAAACTAACATAGAGACTCCCCTAATGAAGAATGGCAAGCAATTTCTGAAGTAAGGACAGCTAATGGTAGCAGAACCAAGAGAAGAAAATCAGCTCAGTCTCTTTGAATTGCTGTTTTAATACCAATCGATATCTATTGATGGAGAGACTGCAAAATTATAGATATTTTATATCTAATAAAAACCTACCAATTTTAAAAGCAATTAAAAGATAATAAAGAACAATAAATGCATTTTGTGAAGATAGAGGCTCTTGTGTGAAATCATGTCTTCAATCGTCAAGGTAGGTTGATTACAACAATTTTGATTGCAGGGACTGGCAATGTTGACTTTTTCATCAAAATGAAGAATGATAAAATCAATTGTACACCGTGTTATTTTCCCATAGTGAAACATATTTAGTCAAGGAATATCAAAATCTATTTTAAAGAACACCAAGGTTTCTGAATCTTTGCATCTTACTGTAATTTCAGCATCCCCATTAAATATGACTAAATATTTAACTCTTCACTTAACTTCACTTCATTTAACTCTTAACTCGTATAAGATACGCAACAATACATCAGGTGAGTAATAGTTACTTCTTTTTTCAAACATCAGACAGAGTATGTAAAAATATTTTAATGCTTCATTGGAGAGTGATTTAATAATTAAAACAACAATGTGAGACATGTTTCCTACCTAATGGCAATAGCATGAAAGAGAAAGGGCTTACCATGTATTAAATGTGGGTGAGTTTTGTGTAAGGACTCCTTGTTTGTATTGAGCTGTGTATTGTTCTTTTAAAATAGTAAAACACGCATCCAACGTTGGATGAAAAGATGATCTTTTCAAAGCTTAAGTAAAGGGATACACAGGCTGAAAGGTCTCTTGTCAGCAGGATTTCTTGTTTACGTTCTTTGAGATTTTTGAGGTTATATCAATTTATACATAAAAATCTACTGTATATAGTGAAAGGGTTCAAGATGTCTCTCTCATGTTCTATACAGTATGTGCTGAAAAAATGCTTGAGGTTGTCTTTTAGATCCAGAGATTTGACTAGTAACTTATCAGTTACTTTATTCAGCTATTACCCTTAAATTATGTTCCTGTATTAGTTTTATTTTCAAATCCGAGCTATGCACAGCAATTTGAAAACAAATATTTCACTGTTGTCTAAACAGTATCTTCCCATACTGTAAATAGGGTATAAGAAAGGAAGTGTAAGTAGGTTTACATTTGAAAGTAAGCTGCAAGTATTCAGATGTTAATAAAAAGTGGGGCATGAGTGGATATATAAGGGAAAGACCTATAAGTGGATTGAAAACCCAAAGAAGATCACTAAACTGGGAGGATCGGTTGCTTGGCAAAACCGTTTGCAAAAAAAAAAAATGCAATGCAAAAATAACTTGTGGAGTACGTTTTCTCTTGGTTTGGTTAGACTTTGGAACACTTAAGCAAAACAGAAAACAACTTGATAAACATGTTTAACATTTAATGTATTGATTGTATTGAAATTGGTTTCTCCACAGAACCAACTCTTGCCCTTTTTCTCTATTCCACAGTGTTGCATATGAGATTGACAGTGTAAGAGTAATAATGCTAAAGTGGCTTCAAAACAGGGATATTTCACTAATGCATTTCTAGTAAAAGATGAAGAAAGGGTTTATTATTGAAGAGTGAGTCAGAACATCTCTCAGAACTAAAGCTCTTGAACCTTTTTTCTCTTGCTTTAATGGAAAAGGTCTACTTGTTTTTTTTTTTCAAAACTCACAAGCATGAAAGCAGGATTCTTCATAGCACTAATAAACTCTATGTTGATTATTCAAATCAAATCATTCATTTAAATTTGCTGTGTGTGCATTTCTACTTTAAAGACTAGGGCTATATCCTTTTTTCTTATTTTTGTGCATGTTGATTTTAATGACTATACACATAAAAAAAACTAAAATGACCACATGCGTATAAGTGTTAAACCTCTTATAGTTTTGCATTCACAGTATGATGTGCTATTAATCTCAAGAAGTGCATTAGACCCACATTTCAGTGAATATGATGCACTCCCTTTTACATTATACCATATGGTAATATAGTCATGCTGTGCAACCTTTTATCAGTACTATGCTCAGTTTAGTCCCAGATTTCTGTATTCTGACTTTAAGAAGCATTATGTGTAAATATGCTTTTAGGTCTCCAATCCTTCTCTGTATAATGTTTGTGCTGTGTGCATCAGATGTTCTGATGAAACACAAGGAAATTCCTGATCTATAAAAATGCAGATGAACCAAGCACATAGTTTACTGAATCTTATAGGGAGCATGTTTCTATGGTTTAAAGTTGTGCTTTAGTTTCTGTAAACATCTTTATATAGCAATGAATTCAAATAAGAGTAGACACATTGACAGTAAAGAGTATTCATTGCTCTCATCAGCTTCAGTATGTGTGTGGCAAAACCTCCACTGGATGATGACTAATGAATAACTTGTTCTTTCGTGATTCTTATCAATCATATGGGTTGTCTATGTCATTTCCTCTTGCCTTTTTATCTAACGCTGTGCTATTTTGTGACCATTCTTGGTGAGTTTTTTTTTTTTAAAGGAGCAAAAGATGAAGTACTGTACATGGTACTGTATGTGAAATAGCATACTAAAACATAAAACACTGCAAATCTGTTAATATTTCCATAAGAAAATTCAGATCAAAGTCTACAAAATTTAAAAAATAACATACATACAATTTGCTGGGAAAAATAGTTTAAAAATACAGCCGGATTCAAAGTTTCTAACAACATTAAATCCATAGAATATGTATTGATCGTTTAGGTACTGTAAACTGCTTATTATTATCATGGAAATTTTATAACTTTCTCCCTTTCCAAATATTCTTGAGAAGGGGCATTCTCTGTTTCTGTTTTGATTTTTTTTACTGTAAATACATTATTGTGGAAAGTTAAGACAACAAATGTGTCATTCAGAATAATCCATAATTGGTAGAAGATGATAGCAAGTCCTTTGTGAGAAATGTCTTATTGTACGATGAAGAGAGAAATTCTGCTATCCAAATATTGTACTTTTCATTAAAAAACATATACAGTATATAAAGCAGTAATTTATTAAATGTAATTTAAAGCATGCATATCAAAAGTATTAATTTCTAATTCTAGAGATTGAAAGTTTAGTTTCTGATCCGTGGTAGTCTTTATGTACTGTACTTACCTAGCTGAGTGTTGCAGGTAACTTTGGAATGTTTTGTTTATTGGATTTGCTAGTCTTTATTTCACAGTTATATTTATTTTATTTGATTTGATTTTTTAATTGATTTTTTCATCAGAGAACAACTGATTGAAAATCATTGTGTCATGAGCACAGCCAAAATTGCAGAAGAATTATATGTTTATTGATATCGTCAAACACCACAGTTTTAGTTCTATATTTTCTGAGGTGGTGTAATACAAATTAATTTGCAATTTACTTCTGCTTTTATTGAGTAGCTCTCTAAGGAAAGCAAAAGGGATTGTCCAGAGGGCAATTAAAAAACTACTACTGTATGCAAAATAATTGGGGGTGGGGGTGGGGGTGGGGGGTCAGTTACAATTATTATATGAAATGGAAATAGTAAAAAAGAGAAAAATATTTTGCCTTAAGAAATATGTATACACTAGAATTGATTATAAATAAATGATAAATGAAGAAAGCAGAACTGATACTAATGTGAATAACAGCTGGATAATCAGCCAGAAACATACCATGACCAAACCATCACCCAGCATTACAATAAACATTTATATACCATCATCACTTCCCTGTTTAGGCAATGTAGGGACATTATTATACATAA